CATCAACCCCTCGCACTACAGTGATCATGGATGATATAGTTCCAAAATTCGGATCTACTCACGGGATGAGATATGTTAAACTAGGGTTTGGGGCTTGTTAGAGATATTTTCTAGAGAAATTCTTCTCCTCCCGTTGCTGAAATTTGAATACAAATAAATAGGAAACAATGTGTTAACTTCTTCCTGAACCCTAGAATAAGATCACCATAACTTAAGGCTAAAATCTTACCACCATGATCTTAGGCTAAAATCTTATCCATCATGATTTAGACTTCCTTAATTAGCCTATTTACTTAAATAACAAAAGAATATGAACTTCAAAAATAAAATACATATAAAGCTAACCAAAGACAGCAAAAGAGTTAAGCACACTCTTTGCCGTTTGCTTATTTTTCTGCTTGCTATCTGTGAGCCCCTCTTCAGTCTTTTGTTTCATGTTATTGACTATCACAATGCTTCTTTTTATTTTATTCATCATTGAATCAATAATTATGAACATATGATATACTAATTTTTATAATTAGCAAGTACAAATGTCTTTACATATTCTTTGATATATCTTGAGATTACTATACTAATTATCTTAATATTTTAACTATTTTAGCTCAAAGGTAATAGTTATCTTTTTATACATCCCACTACCTTTGTAAACAATATATCAGGTACTTATCCGAGCTATCATTATTGTAACCTACTCTACCTACCCAAATCATAACCTTAACACCTCAGTTTTCTTTAAATGAGAGATCTTCAACATAAAGAGCCAACGGAAAAAAAATCCATATATAATTACAACCTAATTATAAGAAGCAATAAAGCTGTACGGTTCTTCTAAGAAAGAAGAGTTTTAACTCCTTTTCTATCCAAGAAAATGTTCACGTGCAATTTTTATTCCATAAAACCAAGATTAAGTTACTTATTTCAGGAACACCCATAGTTGCCATCTTGGACACTACAAGAGAATATTAAAAAGTTATACAAAACTTACCTCTCCCTTTCGTTGCCAGCTTCATCCTCAACTTCATCATTTGGAGATGATTCAAGAGAATCAGCTTCCAGCTCTGCATCAAGAAATGCAGCAAAGTCGTCGCTACTAGATGAATGTACTGGAGAATCCGTCAAAAGACTCATCTGAAATTATCCGAATAATGCAAAAATGTCAATTTAAATGTTGAAAAGGAACAGAAAAATAAGAAAATGTCATCTTCTTTATGAGGTTCATTGAGCACTCCCTAATCTTCATCTCTTTATGTGGTTTACAGTGGAGTAAGGATCAAAAGATCCTCTTAGAGAGGGGCTAATTTTGTAAGGTTACAGGTCCTTTGGTTGGAGAGAACCACGAGAACATTCTGAGCATGCTCTCATTCATTTTATGACATTTGGTGTTTTGGCTTCTCTTCACCTAAAGCCCATGGTTTCTTTAGGATAATTTCTTTATCCAACTAACGAAGCGATTGGGTTGCTATTTGGTAGCACTGGTGCATTTTCTCTGTTTATTTTATTAGTTGTTTCTTTTTTTCTTTTGAGGATAGCTTATGCTCCTTTGGTTTGTGTATTTTCTCCTTGCTTCTAATGAAATTTCCTCTTTTACCAAAAGAACTGAGAAAATTTTTTATGTGACCTTATTGTAATAAAATAGTAGTAAGCCCATTAAGACAATATGTGGAAGCTTTTCTGGAGGTGCGTCTCAAACTGAAGGTTGAATACATAGGGCAACAGATTTAGTTAGTTCAGAAAGACAAAGTGTCATGAGAAAGAAGTATTGAATCACAAAGTACAAGTGTTGAATATCCATGTAGAAAGGTGAAAGAGCCTTTCTGAGAGGACTCACTACCAAAATTTTATAATCAAACTTGGATATGGAGAAAACTAAAGCCAAAGTAACTTGTTTTGACCTGAAATGCAACCAAGCAAATGCCTCAAACTACAACTAACTGTCCTGCTAAGTGTAATAACCTCTTTCTCAGTGCCTAGATGATGCTTAAAAATAAAAGTCTACTTACTAAAGAATTGACACATGTAACATGCCTGTAATTCAAATCTCCCTATAAAGGGCATAACATACCTCAGAAAGGATCCATTGGCAAAGGGATCATTTGGGATGAAAAGTAAATATTATTATGGGAAAAGACAAAAAAGATAATTTTTAAATAAACAGATCAAAAATACTATTAACAATGACATCAAGGGAGTGCAGATCCATATACAAAATATTTACATATCTATTAATAAGTCAATAAGATTCCTTAAATCCTCCATAGAGTACAAAGCATGACCCAATAACAAAAATCCCAAAGCCTGAAACCATCGATTATTAATTAAATCGAATCCATTATCATCTTCTTACCCTTCAAAAGCTCTTACGAAGGTACCAACACTTTCAGAAAAAGCAGACTGAACAGCAAGTAAAGAAAATGCTAGATGCTTCAATAATCCACACAAGTCATTCTCCATTTGCATCTTGACCCACACTCAACTAACCTGACGTGGCAAGATTAAGGATTAAGAGGATATAATAAGAAGTCTCAACCCACACTCAACTAAGGTTTCTTTACACCGCAGCTGGCTGGGGTTTCTTTTTTCTCTCCATTTTGTTTATATTTTACCAAACTTTTGTTGGATTCCAACCAAATTTTTGGTAAAAGGGGTATATATAAGTCTTTGACCTGATTTTGTCAGTTATGATGATTACTAATAAAATAACCTATCTATCTTCAAAATTCAAGCAAGTATTCCCTCTTCTCCTCCTCCATCCTATTTTTCTCATCTATTCTCTCCCTTTCTGATAACATATACGGTCACTAGGGTACACAGTCAAAGATTCCTGACATTTTTCTACCTAATATTTTTCTATTCAAGCATTCTACCAAACAATTTCATGTACAGAATCATTCAACCATAAAACATCGGTCACACCAATCAATCATGTTAAAATATCCATGGTAACCTGTAGGATGTGAAACAAAAGAGAATTAAATGTATATACGACAAAAATTCAAATACGACAAAATCCGTGCATGGTGAAGAAAATGGAACTTCATGTTGCCATTAAACGACTGTTACATCATAGGCAATCAAGCAACACCCACCCAAAATCCAGAGGACTATTTAATCAATTTCATCTTTCATGCTTACAAATTTTCTCTCCGATACTGTTTTGTTCAAGCACTCCACCCAACAATTTTAAGAAAGGGATCACTCTTAAGGTAAAGCATCATTCACACCAATAAACATGTTTAAAATGTTCATGTTAACCTGTATGATGCAAAATCAAATAGAAATAAATCTCAGACAAAAGCTCGCATAAAACCAAAATATGCGCATGATTGAAAAAGGGAATTTGCAGCACCATAAAAAGGCCCTTACATCATAGGCAACCAAGCAATTCGGACCTAAAAGCCACATGACTGTTTAACCAACTTCATGTTTATCCTTCATGCATTCCACCAAACAGTTTCCAAGTACGGGGTTATTCTACCGTAAAACATCAGTTACACCAATCAATCATGTTTACTACCTATATGTTTGACCCCTAAGAAACTTAATTAAAACAGGACATCTAGGTAGAGGAAGCCAAACTTCTTCAAAAAAATTTATCAAACAACTAGAGGGCATAAAAATCTTGAAATACGGATTTTCACACATTAGGTACAGCTCAACTAGTTAGCGTAGAACTACTCAAAGCCATTGAGGAATGAGAAATATAAAAAAATATATAGAACCTACAGAATACCAGATAATCACTCCCAAAACAAAAACATGCAAGGCCATTAATCAGATAAAACTTCAAAAGAAAAAGAACTAAACAGTGCCCAAAAGGAAGCAATTCGGTTGTCATCTTCAATAATCTCAAGAAAGGACTACATATCAAAAGACTATAACAAAGGGATCTTACAACTATAAGCCTTGATTCTCGATGCTGCTTGCCGAAAGAAAACCAAAGATTGTGGCGCTTGCAGATAAGTCTTTCTTGCAACCTCTTAGTCTAACTCCTAATCATTGATTCCTCTCCATGGTTCCAAAGCTCGCGTCTTTCTCTCTTCTTGGCCTCGGCTTTTTCTCTGATTTTCCCAGAAAAGCTTCCCCTTTTCCTCCAGAAAAGCTCCCAAAGCGCTCTCTCCTCCTGATTTTTCCTCCTCCAAAGTTCCCCAAGTCCCCAGTCTCCCCAAAATCTCTCCGAAATCTACAGAAAGTTCCTCAAGACATTCCCTCCCTGAAGCTGCAACCGAGGCCCATTCTTACATGCGCATCCGATCCTCCTTTCCTGCAACGACTGTTGGTGCAACAGCAGTTCTTTGTCTGTGTTCGTGTTCTTTTTACACGAAGCTGCAGCTCTCTCTCTCTCTCTCTCTCTCTCTCTCTCAGTCTCTTCCTCACTCTCGGGCGGTTGTCTTCTTCCTCAGCGGCTTCTCTCTCTTCCCCACTCTTGCTCCAGGGAATTGAAACGTTTGCCTCACCCTCGGTGTCTCGTGCGTGTGTGTGTGTGTATATATATATATATATATTATATTTTCCGTTCAGGCGCCTCGAACCAATCTGTTCCCCTTCAACTTATATTGTAAAATTCTAATATTTATTCCTAATTTATAATTAAATAAAACTTGAAAATAAAATATTAATTTACATTTAATTTATATCTTAAAATATAAAATTTTCATATGAAAATCTATTTCAAATTTTAAATAAAATTAAGAATTTACTGTTGAATTGAATTTTTATTATTTCTAATAATATTAACTGATTAATTGCAAGGAGTTTTTTTTTTAAAAAAAATATATATATATATATATATATACTCCCGTCGAGGTGGGTTGTTGGGCATGGAAGCTCTGGTTCTGGGCTTCCTTGTCTCGACCTTCATGGTGTGACTCTTACTGGGCTGAAATGTGGGCTCTGAAAGCTTCCTCTAATCTTGTAATGAAACAATTAGATTCAAACATGGGGAAAAAAATCTTAACCCAAGATAACACCAGCCACAAAATAAGATCAGTGGACGGCCTTATTCGGCCGCGGATCTTTCCTGATAATTCCCAAGCCACTCCTCGTCTTCTTCTTCTTTCCTCTGATCTGCAGCCTGTGCCCAACTTTCCCTGCTCTTAACTTATGGCTACAATCACTAATTTCTTATCTAATCCTCCTTCTTCTCTTCTACCCTCCACTAATAAGTTAATTTCTCTTTCCCCTCGCACCTCTCACTTTGTTTTTGGTAAAACCATTCGTCCTGCAACAAGGCTAGAAACAAACAGATCAGCCCAGTTTATTACAAAGGCCACAGCTGCACCTGGAACGAAGAAATCTGCGCCGAGTGATGAGAGGGTGCAGAAAGTTCACAGCATAGAAGAATTTGACGAAGCTTTGAGAATGGCGAAAAACAAGCTGGTTGTGGTGGAGTACGCCGCTAGCCACAGTTACCACAGCAGCCAAATCTACCCTTTCATGGTGGAACTTAGCAGGACTTGCAGCGACGTGGAGTTTCTTCTGGTGATGGGCGACGAGTCAGAGAAAACAAGAGAACTGTGCGCACGGGAGAAAATTGAGCAAGTCCCCCACTTCAGCTTCTACAAGAGCATGGAGAAAATCCACGAAGAAGAAGGTATCGGACCAGATCAGCTGTTCGGCGATGTGCTGTACTACGGTGACAACCATTCTGAGGTAGTGCAGCTACACAACAAGGAGGGTGTGGAGAAGTTGATTGAAGATCACAAGGCTGACCACAAGCTGATTGTTCTGGATGTGGGGTTGAAGCATTGTGGGCCATGCGTGAAGGTGTATCCGACGGTGGTAAAACTGTCTAGGCAGATGGACACGGTGGTGTTCGCGAGAATGAACGGTGATGAGAACGCTAGCTGCATGCAGTTCTTGAAGGATATGGATGTGGTGGAAGTGCCGACGTTTTTGTTCATCAGGGATGGTGAGATATGCGGGAGGTATGTCGGGTCTGGCAAGGGTGAGCTTATTGGGGAGATTCTTAGGTACCAAGGTGTTCGTGTAACTTAAGATTAAACATATGTATTTTCTGGTTTTGAAACAAAATGAAACTGAGATACACAGACACTGGCTAATTATGATGATTAGGATAATTCATAAATGTCCTGATCAACTTATGGAAGGACTTTGGTCCCAATTATCTTTAGTATTCATCATCTTTTGTACTTTCACGGCGGTGTCAAAGTAATTATAATGCTGGTATTAATAAAACTTACAAGTTAAGTTGTCTTCTTCCTCTGTATCACAGATTTTTTTGCAATGAACCTACCATCACACAGCTGAAAAACGTTACTCCAGTGCTAAAATATTTCATGGGTATGGATTCCTAAAACATGTAACTCACAAGCCCATGAGTTAGCAAAATGGGCTGCCAAAAGCTCATTTGTGGGACTTTTGAATTTTGACATCTGTAACCCATTAACCAAAACAATCATCTAATTTGCTTTCTTCTATATATGACATCTCTCTCTGTCTCTCTCTCCTTATATATATATATATATATGTGTGTGTGAATAATTAGGTTGGAGATTCCTTCAGAAGTGATTGCTACCCATAAACTTAATTTAATAGTATTGACTAGACTTAGAAGAAAACAAAACCAAAATTGTGTATCCACTTGATATTATCTTCCTAGCAAGTAGTTTACAGCATTATAACTTCTTGGAAAATATCAACTGAAACTAATTTGCAGGCAATGAAATTAATTATGATTTGTGAAGAAGCAATAATATATGAATTTGAAACTAAGGGAATTTAACTAATGAACCATATCTATTTACAATAAAATCATTCAACATATTACACCAATTTCATATTGGAATCATTCATAAAAGAAGATCATCATTTTGCTCCGATCATTGACTTATTCAGATTATGCGGAGAGGCCTTGGTGGGTTTATCGTTCTTCTCTGCCATATGTTCACTTCTTTCCTTGGCTGCAAAGCAATCTGTCCGCCCATTATTATTGGAGCCGAGAAAGGAATAATCGTCTCCGCCTCCTCTTCTTCTCCTCTATCACTGTCTTCCTCCGAGTTAGAATTCCGATGATGATCATGATCGGCTTCTTCGGGTGCAACCTGAGCCGTCCAATCGAAGCTGGCAAAAGCATCGCGCCCACTGGAAAATCGCTTCATCTGGCCCAAACGCGGCGCCCTATCAACCAGTGTTGGCTTCTTGCCATCGTCAACGGAGTTTGACTTCTTCCCAAGCTTTTTGCTGCTAAACATTTTCTTTATCTTCGACGCGTGTTTTTTCACCATGCGAGGAGACAGCATGGCAGGCTTGGGTCGATCTTGAGGGAGCGAAACGGTGCGTTCTATATTCTTCTTCTTCTGCTTGACGTGGCCCATGCAAGACACTTTGGGCGAGGTGGGTTCTTGCGCCCCGAAGCTCTCGTTCTTTTCTTTCCTAATTCGAGCTTCGTGGGGAATTAAACAAACAGAGTGACCGGAAAATCCTTTGTTGTTGGCGGCGGCGTGAGGTTTTAGCTTGGTCATTATGTTGTCTCTTCCAGGGCTGAAGGGTGGATTCTGAAATCTGACTGCTGCCGCTGCTTTCGGCAGTAATTTCAAGAAATTGTTCCTGGGCTTCGCCTGTTTCTCCATTGTCATCCGATCAACCTTGTAAATCTCTCGGTGATTATATCTGCAACCAACTACCACTTGTATGTATATATATATATATAAATACATTTTTATTTGAGAAGACAAAAGAGGAAAATGATTGGATGGTACAAGGGGGAAGGATCTTTGACCATTTAAAACAGAAAGTAAGTGGGTGAGAAGGCTCGGTCAGAGTGGATGATGAGCCTGAAAAGTTCAATTCGCCGGTTTCCGTCTTGTAGCCCACAATTCTCCCTCTGTGTTCAAAGTGTAATTAACCAATAATCAAAGCAAATCAAGATTTAATTGGCATGCTAATTAGTACGAGTCCCGATAAGGCTCCTAATAATTGTCCAAAGATAATTTTTTTACTCACTTACATAATCCTATTTATTTGGGATTATCATGTTTTACTACATTATTATTAATTAATTAATTAATTTTTAAAGTAACCACTAATGACCAATAAAATTAGAGAAGAATTCCAAAAGTGTGTATACTTAATATATATCGCATCATAAGTCAAACATATATATATATATATATGTATATATAGCATAATTGATGTATATAGAAAATACTATTCACATTAACCTCGTGATTAACGTGTAATAATTTAATTTCTAAAACAATATTATAATTTAATTTAAATCATCGATAGTTTCATTTGTGCTTGGTTGGTGAGTTACGTCAAATATATATATATATATTATCATGGTCTTACAATTATTTCAAATTTATTGAAAAAATGTAAATAAAAAGAATTTTTGTTATGTTATGTCATAATTTTTATAGCTACATAAAAATATTATGAATTAAAAATAATTTTATAAAAATTTAAGACTAAATCGCAAAAATAAAATTGTGACTTGATAAATAATTAGAAACTAATATAATAATTTTTTATTTTTTATTAGTAAGTAAAAAACTATATATTTGATGGTAGGGTGAAACTAAATAGAAAAAAAATAGTGAAGAAATAAAAAAGAAAAAAGAAATCTCTCAGTACTAATATTTGATACGAAAGTTATTTTTATTAAATTCAACATATTTTAAAGAAAAAAAATAATAAAAATTTAAAGTTACATATTATTCGGAGATGATGCAACCATAACTTGATTGAAATATTCTTTGATAATATATTTAATTATTTGACTCGCTTATTCTCTTTATTCAACTATTACGCCCAAAAATTTTAAAATTTTATATGATGTAATATTCACATGAAAAGAGAATTTGTACTCCTTTTATGTATGGTAGAACATGTAAAATACATTAATAATAATTGAATGCATTGATAACTATTTTTATTATTATACTTTAATTATCTTAAAATATAATAATTTTATAATTTACTTTAAGGTTACTCACTCCATCAATGGATATATATTTTTTTATAACGATTATTTATTATTTCGAATGTCATTTTAGTTAGTTTCAATCGTTATGAGGTGATGAAAAAAATAAAACATTAGATTAGTGGATCATCCATTTAATTACTAAAATTAATAGTGCTTATATTATTTATAACTTTCCTGAATCAAGGTCAAAATCAAGAAAATAAAACTTAAAAGCAACAAAGAATACAATATTGTTTATCGGCTTCGTGCCATTTGCCACTCGAGATTATTATCTACTTGGACTTTATATTATATTAATTTTATTTAGCCGTCGACTTATTTATTATAAACAATAATAATTAGCCTTAATAAAAAAATTAATCATATAGGTGTATATTTTTTTTAATTGATGGATGGTTGAGACAATTATCTTGTTGACTTTATATTTAGCTAGCGATAATTTTATCAAATTAGTCACTGTGCTCCCCAGATTTCCAATTGCAGCGTTTAAATTGGAAGAGTTCAAACTTCAAGGCGCTGGATTGATATTATTAAACCATTATACTTGTGGTTGGCTTGTACACATTCTTCATTTTAGTAGGCTTATTGTATATTGAATAATGAGCAGGTCAAACGCATACACCGCAATGCAAAAACACATGATGTTAATGAATATGGATTTTAAATACGTATGATGTTTGTATCCATTTTCTACGTACACGTAATAAACGCCGGCGACAGAACTCTGGAACTGAGATCACAACTTTGTTTTGTTTCCGGTCCATTCGAAACAAAACATTTGTTTGATCTTTTACACGTCGAAGATGAAAGTGGATAATAGTATATAAGATATTAGCTTTTAAACGAAAAAACCCAGTTCGAAGATTTAGACCAAAGCTGTTTAGAACATAATTAAATTGCCAACTCTAACAAATAGATAGGCTAAACATCATTTTAAGATGGAACTGAATCACAGGGGAGTCCAAGCTACAAGATTTTGGATAGATCGTATTGTTTCCTAATTCATGCTGTTATCGTGTGATTAAGTCAGGTGAATGATTCGCGTATTGATTTTTGGAAGCTTCATCCACCATTTTTCTGGACAATCAAACTAAAACCCTGGCTATTTTCAGACAATGTAAAAAAAAATTTAACCGGGTAGAGAGCATTTAATGCTCGTTAATTTTCTGCTGCTGCTGTTGTATTTATCGGGAATATATACACACACAGGAGAAAATGAAAAGAGGATGTGGTGAACAGAAAGGCGCTAGCGAGTTCTTTGTTCATCGAGTTCAGAATCCACGACACTACCATGCTGTCTGTTTTGTGCCATTGTTCATATTCTGCTGCATTAGGTTTGAACTTTTTGCATCTGCCATCGACGAGGGCGAGCTTGTCTTTGGCTCTCAATGCGATCACCATGGCTCGGCTCCAAGACAAGTAGTTGGATCCATCAAGTGTGGTTGTGACAAGTTGCATTTCAGGCTGGTATGAGTTTAAGAGTGTCAACATATTTGTATTAGAGTTTGCTATTAAGCAATAGGATAATATTGTGATATAGAAATTAAAAAAATCAGTGCTTATTATAGGCATTACTCCTATACCATAAAAAAAAACTTAATCGGGTAGAGAGCATTTAATGCTCATTAATTTTCTACTGCTGTACTTAATGAATGAAACCTTGGGAATCCATACACACAGGGGAAAATGAAAAGAGGATGAGAGTGGTCTCTAAAATCGTGAGAGACCACCAACTCTCCTCAACCTTTAAACAGAAAAGGAAAATCTAGACCGTTCATTTTAGAATTTTGATCCTTAATTCTTTCAGCCTTTTCATTTTTATCCTTAATTCTTTTCAGAAAACAATTAGTTGCAATAAGTTAGCATACCAAATCCTCAGTACTAAATAACTCTAATGATGAGCCACCGGCATGGTTAGGCTCTGAGTCAAATTGAAGCCTTGCCAGTCGCCGGACCCAACACTACATGTCAGGACTGTGGATATCAAAAAGCTGTATGTTATATTGCTAGGTGAGACCCAAAAAGAACAATGAGAAGAGGGGATGGAAACATGCAGAAGGTAATATGCTCAAGTTAATTAGAATTCCTGGCATGTACTCCTCCCACAAGTCAAATATACAAAAGCTATAGCTAAATCTAAACTGGGCGAGTAACAAATCCCTTATCCACCATCTTTTCCACCAGCTCCTCATGTTTCTTTAACTGGCCGGCTTCCCTTAGCAGTTTCAGCACCGTCTCATACATATGGAGACTGGGTTTTAAGCATTTCTCTTCAACCATCTCCCTAAATAACTTGTGAGCATTTTTCCAATGACCCATCCCACAGTACATTGTAATCAAAATTCGATAAGTGTTTACATTAGGCTCAACTTCTCTCTCGTCCATTTCCTTCTTTAGCTTGAGAACCATATCAGTCGATCTCGACTCAGCAAACATCCGCATCAATACATTGTAAGTCACTGTATTAGCTTCACATTTCAAAGCATTCATTTTAGTATACATCCTGTGAGCAGCATTAACATCCTTCAACTTTGCAATGCACCTGAATATCGTATTGAAGGTAGAAGCATTTGGGTTACAGCCTTTCTTAACCATTGTGTTAAGCACCTTAACGGCATCATCCAGACTGTCTTGGCCACAATGAGTCTCAATAAGAAAGTTATAAGTGACCGTATCTGCATTGCATCCAAGCTTTCTCATCTGATTATAAACTTGCAGAACTTTCTCCGTCCTCCCCGCCTTAACATGAACCCTCATCAAATTGTTGAAAGTAACTGAATTTGGCTCACAGCCAGCATCAAGCATGTCCGCAAAGACATCGTGGGCTCTTGTGATCTGCCCACATCTACAGAGTGCATCAATCACAACACTGTAAGTATACACATTGGGCTTAATCCCAGACATCTTCATCTCCCTAAATACCTTCTCTGCCTCGGGTATATTACCAGCCCGACACCATCCATGGACCAAGCTTGTGTACACAACAACATCGGGCTCAAACCTGTCCTTTAAGCTATCAAAAAACGACTGAGCTTCACTGGCTCGTCTCTTCCGACACAACATGCCAATCACAATGGAAAACGCAATCTTATCAGGGACGCAACCATAATCTTCCATACGATTAAAAGCGTGCACCGCCTCTGCAGCCATTCCGGCCCTCACGTAACGCCTAACAAGGATCGAGAAGGTCTCAATCGTGATTTCCACATTTCCGGTTTTCATTAAATCAATTAAGTGCCAAGCCAAGTCGAACTGCCTAACCTTTCCGGCGAGGTCGATCATTTCGTTGTACGGCTCAGGAGAGTGAGCGAACCCATCGCGAGAAGTGGCCCAATTGAAGAAAGCTAGGGCTTGGATGAAGGGTATGCCATGGCGGACCCCACCGCACTTCTCGATCACGCGGCGTACTATGGAGGGAGAAATGGAAGTGGCGTTAGGGATTTGGGAGAAGTCGAGGGAGAGAGAGGGGATGTTGAGACTAGGGTTTGGCGGGGTGGGGTTAGGGTTTTTACGGTAGTGGTCTTTGATTAGAGAGTGGAATTGGTCGGCGATTAGGAATTCCGAAGGTGAGGCGTCTTGTGTTGAGGAGTCGAGTTTATCAACATCCGCTTCTTCGTCAAGTAGGGATAGAGAAGACGAGTAGGGTTTAAGGAAAAATTGAGAGTGAGGATAAAGACAATGCGGTAAACGGAGTTTTGACTTAATTAAGGCCATTAATGGAAGACTCCTTCGCTTGTCTTCTTCTTCTTCTTCTTCTTTACTGGCTGCAGCCTGTGGGGGAAAGTAGAGAAAGCTAGGTAAGGAGAGAGAGAGAACTGGGAAGTGGGAAAGAAGTACGGCAATAGGTGTTAAACGGCGCCGTGGTACGTTTCAGCGTACGAAGTGTATTTAGCGTAATTTGGGCCTTCTGGCCCAACTGGTGCTCGGCTACTTCTGAAAGATTTTTGGTAGACTTGATTTTGGGGTGAAAATAATATGGTATTTGATAATCTAAGATTTAATTAATCATAATTACAAAATTAACACATCAAAACATTTAAGTTTAAATTTGATTATGATATTCCAAATTTTTCATGAAATTAAATTCGAATGAAATTCAAATTTATTACATTTACTTCAAAAGGAGAAGAAGGATTACTTGACGCTCTATGAACAGTTTTTTCTTGACAAAATTAGAGCGTGCCGTAGGATATTGAAAATCCTTCAATCAACGAAGGATTCCATGAGATCTGATTGTAAAGCTTGACCGATTTCCTTTTCCTAATTAGGAATCAAATCATGTAAAAAACCAGAAAATAAAAATTTGACTTCCTATCTCAGAAAATCAAAACCTTGTGCTGCCCGCCAACGGCTGACAGACCAGAAAACCAAACCACGAGCTCCTTCCAAATGACAAAAATATCCCCACCGATTACCCGCTCACCTTCATGCTCTTGTCAATTCACGCAGGAAAAAAAGGGTATTTTCGTCTTTTCGTAAGTCGGTCACACATCTTGAGAACAAATATATATATATATATATTTGCAGACGCTCTCGAGAATCGCACGAGGTTTTAGAAGAGTCCAAGACAGTGATCCCTTGACTTTCACAGAGGAAATTGCGAGGAGGAGGATAATACATTGTTACTCGATCAAGAAATCCGTCCTATCAGACTCCGATTTTGGCTTCTTTTATAAATCTTTTAGGCTTTAGGGATTTCGGCTGGTTCAGCAATGGCGAAAGCGAGGTACCCTCGGTTTCAAGGGAAGAAGTTCTCGACATGGACTCTGGTTTTGTCAATGTTGTTTGTGTTAACAGTTGTTATCTTCATGCTTTTGGCTCTCGGAATTTACTCTCTCCCTATGAGCAGCGATGACTCAACGCCCAACGAACTTACTTCCTTTAGGCGTATGGCCGTTGAAAGGTATGGAGTTGTACTGATTTTTTTATCGGTTTCAATGTAAGATGATTTCTTCATTTGTTTTTTCATATTTTTTGTCTGATCCTGTTGAAGAGATGAGGGGATGGGAAGCAGAGGAGAGCAATGGACGGAAGTGATTTCCTGGGAGCCCAGAGCTTTCCTTTATCATAATTTCTTGGTTAGTAATTATTTCTATTTTTAGCTTTCATTTAGTTTTTCATTTGGATCAACTCCAGAATTGACTTGGAATTCATATAAAAATACTAAGCTCAGTTTAGTTTATAGGATGTGTAAGGTATACCAAAGTGATAGAAATATTGAGAATGAATGGGATTTTACCTTAAATTAGAATCATATCTTTTAAATTAAATCAAAATTGATAGAATAGAAGTTACTATTTCAGTTCTTAACTAACTCTATATAAATTATGTCAAAATCAGTAGAATCTAAAATTTATTATTTCTATTAGCTATGAAACTTGATACGAATTACAACAAAATATTTAGGGAAGACTAGAACTTGATATGAATCGCAACAAAATATTTAGGCAAGACTCTCGTTATTTTATACCATCTAGTAAAAAATAAATGTGGATTTGCAAATAAATTTCATAAGAAGCTTTTTTATTTTTTCCAAACATAGCCTTATTGTTTGTGGTCATTGATGCTAGGGAAGTAGAATAGTAAAAGAAATAGAATCCTAAAAGGCAAAGAAATTGGTAAGTGGTTTTCCTTTCTGCTAAAACACATCCTGCACGACAGTGTTAGCTAATAGAATGGCTATATGTAGTTAAATGGAAGCATGTAAGGTCCTTAAATGATGAGATTGTGAAAATGATATTTTATATTTGTTCCTTGTTAATCATGGTACAACAATTAATTTTCACTCCCTTGAATTATTGAGAATTTGGTTTCATGGACTACTCTTGAGATGCATTGGTCTTGGAAGTTCTTTAGTTCCTTTCTGCAGAAACCTGTGTCCGTACTTTCTCATCTTGGCCATTGTTTGTATGTACTCACATCCAAGAAGCCAGAATCTTGTGCATTTTATGTTTTTTTTTTTTGCCGGCTGTGCATGGCACTCTGTGCCTTCTATGTTTATAAAAAATGTCTATTACAGTTAAGCTTAATCTATTTGACATTTGATCAAGTGTGTCACAAAAACCAAGACTTACACTTGGTTACTTCTAAGTTGTGTATTGTTGGGATGAACTAGAAATCATCTTCGTGATTTTTATACAAGGATCTTTTGACGCATTAGCAGAATTTGTTTTATACATGTTAAATTGGGGAAAAATTAAAATTTTAACTGCTACTTATTTGAACAGTCCAAGGAAGAGTGTGAGTACTTAATAAAGCTTGCAAAACCTTATATGAAAAAATCAACTGTAGTGGATAACGAAACTGGTCAGAGTAAAGATAGCAGGTTTGTGTTTCCTGTCATCCTATTACCCTTCCAATTGTATATTATATTCCTCCGAAAGGATGATCATATCATCAATTATTTGAAGATTTACTTATTTATAAACTGTGAATCTGGTGTACTTTGCAACACTCATGAAATCACTTCTCTGCAGGGTTCGTACAAGCTCTGGTATGTTTTTTACGAGAGGAAGAGATAAGGTTGTAAGGAACATTGAAAAAAGGATTGCAGATTTCGGTTTTATTCCTGTAGGTGTGAGCTTTTAAACTCATAAGGAACTATCCAAATTTGTCTCCATGTACTTCTTTTTAACACTCTGCATTCTAGCTTGTGCCTGAAGGTTCAGGCCTGGTTTTCTGCTGGTTACAAAAGAAAACTCCAGCATGCATTATGCAACACAGTTTTTAATCATCTGTTCCTTGACGTGCATTATTGTTCTCATTAGAAATTGACAGTTTTTTCTTTCAGAACTTTTCTCTATGTCACTGGCCTGTGACTTATAAAATTTGGAAGCAATTTCTGGCACCTCTTATTAATTATTCTCAATATTTCCATTTATGATATGAAAAGAGTTTAAAAATCTTACATTTTATTATTATGATTTTGATTTTTGAGGCTGCAAATCTTCAAACAGATTATGAAGCGCTATGATCATGCCATCTTTTTGGTAAATGGGTGATAGGACCATTTGTATGCCTTGCTTGTACTTAGATTATTCTCCCACATAAAGATTGTTCATGAGAAATTTTTGAATTGGTGGTTATATTTTTAAACTAGTAATGGGTAAGACATGCAGGCAACAAACAACTGTTGAGAGTTCCATTTCTTTAATTAGAAATTTCTGATTAGATGACATGAACTATTTTGTCTTTTGTAAAATTGAAGGTTTTACATACTTTGTTTCACAAGGTTGTTTCCTGTTACATCTTATTTGCTATCCATAAATCGCTGCGGATCCTAGTTTTGTGTCTGTTTTTGTAGCATTCTCTCAGTTGCTTGTATTCCAAAACAAAATAGTTGTTGTCTGCCTGTTTAAGCTAACCATACAATCTGCAGAGCATGGAGAAGGACTTCAAATTCTCCACTATGAAGTTGGTCAGAAGTATGAACCACATTTTGATTACTTCCTGGACAATTTCAATGTCAAACATGGAGGTCAACGGACTGCCACCATGCTTATGTATCTGTGAGTATTTACTCCGTTACATTTTGGATGTGGTTAACACCTCAATTATGTTTGAACTAATTCTTGTTTTCTGAACTCATTTAATATCTTCCACCAAATGTAGGTCGGATGTGGAAGAAGGGGGTGAAACAGTTTTTCCTGTTGCCAATGTAAATATCAGTTCTGTACCATGGTGGAATGAATTGTCTGAATGTGGTAAAAGAGGGCTTGCTTTGAAGCCAAAAATGGGCAATGCTTTGCTCTTCTGGAGCACGAGGCCTGATGCCACAGTTGATCCATCAAGCCTGCATGGTTAGTAACTATTCTTCCTTTTTTTGGCCAAGTTATAGATTTTTGCTGCAGTTTGAGAATTATTACGCAGTTGGTCTTAGACTTCATTTGGAAAAGATTAGACTTTCTTTTGTGTTGTGTACTGGACTTAGTAAAACTCACTCTGAAGATCTTTCTTCCCTCTTCTCAGTACCATCAGTTTTAGTCATCTGACTTCATGTTATGAACATAGAATCTGCATTATAATCTGTCTTAATTGATGATATAGGTAGTTGCCCTGTTATTAAAGGGAACAAATGGTCAGCTACAAAGTGGATGCATATCAATGAGTACGGGGTGTAGCTGTGATGATAATGTGTACAGGTACTTCCTGTATGCCTACAACAGCTATCATATGTTTCGTACTTATGTCAGCATTGGGATTTTTTCCAAATTCAGTTACAAAGCAATTCGTCCAGTTTCATTTACCTCATTAATTATTTAATTATTTGTTCTACGCATGCAAAAGGTCTTGGCAACCGATCTTAACCGTGTTCAAGATTATCTATTGAAAATTTGATGGTTGTGGG